GCACAGGACGGAGCAGAATTTAGGGCTGTTGTACATAGGGTCACTATGAGTTGCAAGCGACTTGATGCCACATAACAACAACAACAGCATACTGAAACTGAGGAGGACCTGAAGCCCTTGCTGCTGAGGGTCAAGGACTGCAGCCTTCAATATGGATTGAGGCTCAATGTCAAGAAGACAAAGATTCTCACCACTGGACCAATTCCAGCATAAGGATGGATGGTGAAGAGATTGAGACTGTTTACAGCTTTAGTTTGCTTGGTTCCACAGTTGCAAGTGACTTTACAGCACATAACAACAACTTACTTAGGTAACTCCTTAACACCCAGAACACTGTCGAAACCCTGGATATATATGCTTGGGCTCCATCATGATGCAGGACATGATCATTCTTCATACGTTCCTCCTCTCACCTTCTTGGTCAATTTCACCCTGCCCCCTGGAGGAAACCTTTGTTGTTGTTTTTTCAATTCACAGATAAGCTTAGCTTCTCCAAGGAGCTGATAGAAATGGAATCATCCAGTATGCGCTCTCATACCTGGCTGTGTTTTTGAGATCTGTTCATGTTGTTGCGTGTGTGAGTAATGCACTCCTTCTTATTGCCGATTATATTCCATTGTATGACTACATCATGGTTTGTTTATCCATTCACCTGTTGATGGACACTTGGGCCGATGCCAATTTTTGTCTATTATGATTACAGCTGAATAAGCGGAGCTTCTATTTGAAAGCCTCAGCAACCAGAAGCTGAAACCATTGCCAGGTGCACATTACACTGCTGGGTAGCTCTGCCTTTCAGGGAGCTCTGCCTTCTGAGTTGACATTCTTCCTGGCACTCCAGCTCTGGCTCCAATTCAACCTTCATAGTGAGGTAGCAGAAAGCAAGCCTCTTTTCTATTTGAAAGCCCTTCAGGTAACTGAACATAGCTTTATCCAGGCTCTACCTCCCATCCCATCAACTGCTGCCCGAATTCTGACCTTTCACGTTGGAGACCCGAGCTCAGTTCTCAGCTGATGTACCACATGCATAATCACCACATGCCTGTCAGCGGAGGTTGGCATATGGTTGTTTTACTGAATACCTTCAACAGAGACAAAGATGACCTCGGAAGAAAGGTATGAATAGCTACTTCCAAAAACCAGTCCCTGAAAACCTGTGAGTCTCAGGGTTTAACTGAGAATGAGGATGATGCGAGGCCAGATAGTGTCCTGCTCTGTTATGCAGGATGTCTCTGCGTCAGGGACAATTGAACAGCAGCCAATAAACAGATGGTCCAAATTCTGCCTCTTCTTCCCATCAATTGCCTTTTCAGTTAATATTGTTTCCAGACAAAAACCACTCGGGATAAAACTGTTCGTTTGAAGTAATGAATAAAGATAACAGATCCTTTACATGCAACAACCTCAGCCACCACTTTCCCATAGGGTTTCCCAACATCCCATCATCCCAGCAAGTGCTGCTGCTGGACACAGATCACCCAGGGAGAACTGTCCCTCAGTCCTGGGACAGGACGTGCAGCACTGGGCAGTCCAGACAAGAGGCGACAGTGAGACCATGGCTTTGGGACAAATAACAAAGAGATTTTAGTTACAGAGCAGAGAAATTTATTTTTTCTTTTCTTATGTTACTAAACTTTCATGGATAAGAAAGGTGCAAGGTGTAGAATCCACCACGATTCAAGATGTGGAAGAAGCCTAGTCATTGGAAAAACACAAAGGTTTTAGGGATCAGCAGCAGTCAATCGAGTGTTCAGATGACTTGCTAGCAGCAGGCAGGAGTGCTACAGGAGACAGGTCTGCAGATGAGGGTGGGGCGGGAGGGCTGGCAGCAGAGGGAGGACTGGCAGGAGGGGGCCACGCACACGGTGGGCTTGCAGCTCACAGGCACACAACAGGCTGGGCTGCAGGAGGAGGCCTGACCACAGGACACAAGACTGCACGGGGACTGGCAGCCACTGGAGCAGCAGCTG